CCGGCCCGCCCCCCGGGCCGCCCCCCCGCCCCCGGGCGCGGCCCCCCCGGGGGGGGCCAGCCAGCCCCGGCTGCCCTCCTCCCCGCGCCGCTGTCCCCCCGCCGCCGAGCGCCTTGTTGGTGAAAGTTTGGAATGCATTGTTTGGGAAATCTTGGCCTGTTTGTCTTGAAAAAAACACCGCAAACAGGAAATTATTTCTGCAGAGGAAGGGCTGGGAGGGCCCCGCTCCGGCTGCGCGGCGGGGAAGGAAGGGTGCTGCGCGGCGGGGAAGGGTGCTGGGCGGGGGGGAGCGGGTCTGCCGGGGCTGGCCGCGTTGGTAATTGGGGATCCCCCCTGCAGCAGGGTGGGCTTCCCCCCCCGCCTTGCGCAATTTAATTAATAATAAACTTTTAAGAAGGCGGCTGTGCAGTTAAGGCCCCGCCGTGGCCGCGGAGGGGGGGTCCCGCACCGGTCCCCGCGGGGGGACACCCGCACCCCCTCCCGGGAAAAGCGCGCCGGTGCTGGCGGTGGGCTCCCTCCCAGGGTGGGGGGTCGGGGCCGGGCTCCCTCCCGGGTGGCCCTGTCCCACGCAAAACTCCTCCCAACAGCACGGGCCGAGCACCCGCCGCTGCAATCAGCCCCTTTCCAGAATTCCGACCTTCAGGAGTGTTTTTGGTGCTCAGCAGGCAGAGCGCCAGCGCTGCCATTCAGAAGCAGGTGGAAGATACTGAAAAAGAGTTAAGATGCTGGAAAAGTAGTTTTGGTTGCATCGATAGCCTTAGTGGTAATGCTTACAGTACAGAAGGGAAAGGAGGGGTGACATTGCAGAATGGTTAAAATAGTGATGAGTGTTTTGCTGACCTAATATTTCTTTCATAGACAACATGCCAGTGTCAAGAATGCGCATGAGGCCCTGGTTGGAAATGCAGATTAATTCCAATCAAATACCAGGACTGATATGGATTAACAAGGTGAGGGTCATTTATTACTATTATTATCATTATTATTACTTCTATATCCTTAACCATCCTTGTTCTTAGACAACACTAAACATAAGTCAAGATCATAAAGGAAAGAAGGACATGGAAAAAACTTGCAAGCATTATGTTTAGAAAGCAACTATTTTTGTTTTCAGAAAAGGTAGTTCTGGTTGGCACACAATGTAGTAGTTCCATTTATTTCCCTGGGAAAATTCCCAGGAGGGAAATGGTAAATTAAAGTGAAAGCAATCTGAACATCATGGAGAACCAAGAAAACTCCAAGATCTCTTTGAACTCCTGCTGCCCACTTGAGCTAAGTCACCTCCTGTCCCTGTTAAGTAGCTACTGTTACAGTCCCAGTTGCTCCCAGTTACAAGATTTGGCCTGAAAGAAGCTCTGGATTTGCCTGACTTTGGTCTGGAAGGCACATCCCTGTACCTCTACCGCAGGATGAGATCACTAGGCTTATTCTCTTTCTCTGAAGTTTCCATATCCATCCCAAGGTGATATGTAAGCTAGGTGATAAGTAATGCTTTTCTTAGGATTCATGCAGGATCTTATGGGCAACTTTAAAAAGGGATTCTCTACCAAAGCGTACCTGGAAAATATACTGTAGTTAATGATGCATTGATAGATTAGATGCATTTAAATGATTCTGGGATAAAACTGATGGTATTGCTTATTTGCACTGTACCATACTACATGTGGCTTTCCCAGTTTCAGAACTTATAAAAAACCTTGTATGCATTGAACAAAATAGATGGAGCAATGGATGCTTAGTTAAGATACAGAGCAGAGGGTTTATAAAATTTCTGAGCTACTACTGAGAATTCTTTGACTAAATCCATCATTTGAAACTGGCATGTAATGCTTCTTTCTCAATTCAAATCTCTATTGGTTTAACTTCAGGATAAGATGATGTTTCAAATCCCGTGGAAACACGCAGCTAAGCATGGCTGGGACATGGAGAAAGATGCCTGCCTTTTCCGGAGCTGGGCCATTCATACAGGTGTGTGCTGGCGTTACGTTTTCATCAGTCAGAGGAATATCTCAAAGAAGGCTTTTTTTTGCCTTGACTTACACCTCAGGTAGTTATATTAACTCCTAGTATATATGTCAGAGAAAACAGAATAATAATTATTTTTTTTTGGAGGGAAGAACTAGCACTGAAAAGTCTAAACACTCACCCCATCCCTTATTTATAGGAAGATATAAAGTAGGTGAGAAAAACCCTGACCCGAAAACCTGGAAGGCGAACTTCCGCTGTGCTATGAATTCACTGCCTGACATCGAAGAAGTGAAGGACAAAAGCATCAACAAAGGCTCCAGTGCTGTCAGGGTTTACAGGATGCTGCCGCCCTTGACAAAGGATCAGAAGAAAGGTAAGCCCTCAGCAATCCAGCTGGGGTTACGCAGCTTCCACTACTGCGCTTAAACACTGCTTAAATTTCCTGCTCTGTGTAGGCAGGGGTATAACAGACCTGTTGGTAGCACTGGTGCTGCTGGGGTTAGTCACTGGTTATTGCCATTGGTAACAGCTTGTACACACAGTTCATTTTATCCCAACTGCTTTAAACGTGCCTAAAGGCATCATCAGGAAGCAACTGGGACTTGCTGCTACTGGGACAGTGGTAGCAAGAGCTCGCTGAGCAGGGCTCAAAGTTGCAAGAGCTCACGCTTGCCTGAAATGTCAGCCAGGCAGCCCTTTCTCACATTTGTCTTATTTTTATTTAACAGAAAGGAAGTCAAAGTCTTCAAGAGAAGCAAGAAACAAGAGCAAGAGAAAGGTATGTGTCTGTAGAGGCAGCTGAAGAAGCTAGAGGTTTTGGTGGTTTTAGTGCTTAATTTTTTTTCATATGGGAACTCGTGCATTCTTAGACAAGTCTTTCATTCTTTGCCCTTATTTTTGTAGTCGTATGAAGACATGAGGATGGAGGAGTCAGCAGAAAGACTAACCAACACTCCTCTGCCAGATGACCACAGTGGCTACACCGTTCACGACTACACGGGGCAGGAAGTGGACGTTGAGAGCACGTCCATCACCTTAGGTGAGACTCAGTTTTTAGCTCTCTGAGCGGAGTGGAAAGGGCTGTTTATGCTAAACCCACAATCTTTATGCCAAAAGACAAAGATAACTCTTGGGGCTGGGCCTGGCTGTGCTGTCAGACAGGCAGGGAGGAAAGAGAGATGATTGTGTCTCTCCTGTGAGTGCCAACTCCTCCTGGTGCATCCCGCAGACCTCTCCCCGTGCGAGGTGAGTGGCTCCCTGACTGACTGGAAGTCGCCGATGGAAATCACCATGGCTGACAGCACCAATGACCTCTACCAGCTCCAGGTGTCTCCCCTGGCTTCATCCTCAGAAGGTATTTCTTTTTTCCTAGCCCGGTCTTTCATCGGTCTACTGGAGGCAGGTTGGAGGCAAGGCAGTGGGATGAAGAAGCCGGGAGGGTGGGACTGGGGGTTCCCAAGGCAGCTGAAATGAGGTGATGCCAGAAGCAGGACAGAGATAGGTACAATAGTGACAGTGGAGGTAACCATGCTTCCCAATGGGGCAAAAAAAATAATTAACATAGATATATCAGAGGGTGCAAATCCTCTTCCTCCTGCATACCAACTAGGCTCTGCTTTGGTGACTCTTGGGGAGGCGTAAGAGCTGGCTGGAGCCACACAACCCAACGTGCAGTTGTTGAAGAGCATCTGAGATGAAGGGCTGTGGGGAGTGTGGGGCACGGAGCTGCTGATGGGCCTCCCCACCTCAAACCCATGAGCCACTCCTCGGTGTCATCCGTAGGGGGGGGAAAATAAAAGGTAGTGGTGTAGTGTGACAAGAGACTTGTCACACAGAAGTGGGTTGTGTGGTGAAGAAGCAGAAGTGCGAGGGCTAACGTGCAAAAAGTTGACATCTATGTCTCTTTTTCTTCTCTCTTTTTTTAATGTGCTTACAAAACAGTCACAGACGAAGATGAAGAGGAAATGAACTCGGAGATTTTTAAGGTAAAACCAGCCCTTCTGGTCAGAATAAAATTGGCCAAAGTTGCTCTTTGCACCTAGAGAGGAAGGGAAGCAGCTATCTGATCCAGCCCTATACAAGCTGAACATACACTTAGGTAATCCAAGACCCTCATTAAATGAGGAAGCCTGAAAAATTCAGTATAAAAAGGCTACTTCACAAACGTGAGCTGGAGAGGACACATTCATGGAAATATTTACTCTTCATGTGAAAGTCAGAGAAAGCTATTGAGTACTGCTAGAAGTAGAGGTTGCTGTATTAGAGTCTGCAAAGCTTCTCTAGGCTTTTTCATTTTGCCCTTCCCTCTATCTCTGACATGTATGGCACTTAATCTGTGTTTCCAGACATGTCACGCTCATCCCACTGATAAGATGGGGGTTTCATCACCGAAGGGGCTGTGGCCCGCCCTGTTTTGCATTAACTTTTTTTTTTTTTTAGCTGGGAGTAAACAGAGTTTTATGTAATTTAGCATAAGAAGATATAATTTGATCTTTTTTGCTTACCTGTTTTCTAGTTAAAAGAAAGGAATAAAATACTGCACCCACAGAAAAAAAGGAGTAGTTTTTACCATCTCCTTATTCTCTTACAGTTGCTTGAACCAGCCCAAGACTGGCACACCACCAGCGTTGGGGGGAAAGGCTTTCTCACCAACGAGCTGGGCACGCAGACCATGTGCAGCACTTACAGCTACAAGGAGCAGGATGGGGAGATCGACACGACTTCAGGTACAGACTCCTCGGTTACCACTGACGGTCAAGGCCACAGGACGAGGCAGATGAGGGTTTTCATGCAAGACACTAATTGGGAGGGAGCAAAGCAAATGGAGGAATTTGCATATCCCCGTGTTCTGAGATTTCCAAGTAGCCTGTCGGAAAGCTGTAAGGAATTTGTTGATAAAAAGGAAAAGGCGAAAAATGCCTCCAGTAAGAGTATACTACAGATTTGTTTTAGGGTTGTACACATGTAAGTTATGTCAGCCCTCAGGAAATCCTTGCAATGTAACCGAAGAATTTCCACTAGCAGTAGCTTAAATGGCGCAGTTTAATAGAGAGTGTTTGGAGTATTTTAGCAAAATATTAGACTAAGGTATTTGCTCACATCTGAGAAATCTTTCTTTTTTTATATATTTACATATATTGACTATTTTGCTCTTGCTGCGTGAGATTCAGTATTCATTCTTGGTTTATTTTGTCTAGGAGACCTGGAGTTCAGGTTCTTTGACCAGAAAAACAGCCTAGACTTCTCCTGGGTGGAGACAGTGAGACCTACCATGCAAGTCATTTCTTGTGGCTTGTAAACCCCTGGCTTCCTCCGACCATGAACTGCTCTTGGGTAGGAACTTTGACGAGCCTGAGGAGAATGGAAGAAATCGTTTGTTACTGACTGAACAAAGAAAGTAGTTTTTATATTCCGTTTAACTTTTAGGCCTGAAAAGGTTAGCAAGAAAAACTCCATCATAAGAAAAAAAAAGAAAAAAAAAACGACTCCCATCTCACTAGCAGGACTCCTGGCACTGAAGATGCTCAGCCGCAGTACGCACCTTGTCATCGCTTCAGCGGTCAAGCTCTTACTGGAAGGTTGCCGATGTGCCGTGGGATCTGACCTGGTGGGGTACCGCTGAATGGCATTGCGTGCCGGAGGCCTGGGGAGGAGGTTACTGTCCTCCCCACGCGAGACGTGATGAGCGCTTTACTCATGGAGTGCTTGGGAGAGACACTGCAAATGAGTGTCTTGCCTATTAGTTTTGGTTGCTGCTTACTTGTGCAACACTGGTGACATTGAGCTTAACAACTGTCATTACACTTAGTCAGAAAAATTGCACTAATTGGCCCTCTCTGATTTATTCCATCACATAGTTCATCTTTCAGATCTTTAAACTGTGTAAATAGTTTAGACCAGTAAAATGTGAAAACTCAGTTTAGGCTTTGCTTCCACGTAGTACAGTTACCCAGGTCCACTCATAGGATGTTATCTGCTCGTAGGCATGCCTTATCTATTTCCACATAATAGTTGAAGAGCTGCCACATGAAACCATTTTTGCACTGATGGGGCAGAGCTCTCTATTTATGCCATTCCATTCTGTGATCCCTTCTAGCACTCTACCAGGATACTTACAGTACTGTATGCAGCCAGCTGTATCACCCTGCAGACCTACCCTGGGCCACTGTGTGCATAAGAGTGCAGGACGGAACAAGTTCTAGTTTGCATGTAATACATAGAAATTAAATCACTAAGCTTAATAGACTATTTTCTTGTACATTTTGTATATAAAATGGTGTATATTTGTTTTAATAAAAATGTTTTGTATATGACATGTTTACTTTTTCTCATGGAAGAGCTCTGAGAATGCATTCCAGATTCCTTGAAAATACCCAAACAGATGTGCTGTTGACAGAGACAGTTGGGTGTTTTTTTTTTCTGGAATCCCGAAAGCACAGGGAATTAATACCGTTTGCTCCCGTTTTCCACCCTGCCTCTTCCCAGTGCAGCTGATGGGTGGAATCCTGCTTGTCCAGGTCCTGTGCACATGTCGGGTAGTTGGTTTGTATCTGCCATCACCTGCGACAGGCAGACCTAACTTAGAGCAGGGTTACAGGCTCTGCTATTAAAAAACCCTCTGCACTAAGTCCCTGCTATGGATGTCCCTACCAGCAACACTGTCAACTCCCGTGATAAGATCAGCAGTGAAGACCTAGCTAAATAACTCAGGTTTGCCTAAAAGAAAGCACGTGAACAATTCAGAAGGCAAGCGGAAAGCAAGCTGGTTTTCCACTATGTATTTTATTCATTTGCCATACTTTCAGGCTGGAAAGGTCTGACGTTATTGCGTCGTCTGGGGTGGGAGACAAGAGACAAGCGTGGCTGATGCAATGTGTCTCCAGCTGCAGCCGCTGGCATCTGACACTGCCTGGAAAACCCCTGTACTGAACAAAGCTGTGCCGTGATGGCCTTTGGGGAAAAACTTCATTCACTGAGCAAGAGCGAGGGCGGACCAAGGAGAATATCAGGCTGTGGGAGAGGAAGACCCAACCCAAAGGGCTGGAACAAAGCGGACGTTTCCTACGGCCTTTGGCACAGGCTCTGCTGTGACTCGACCTGCAGACATGCAGGGACAGATGTGGTGTTTACCGAGGGAAAAAATAAGTGCCATAGAAAGCGGGTGGTGGTGGTGGGTCTCAAATCCAGCACAGCTAAAAGGTTCGGATACGGCACAGCAAGGTGGATGGGCAGCCCGGAGAGGGAGAGGCTGGGCAGGGTTCCTGCAGTGCCTGTTAGTCATTAACTGGCCCTACCTCTGCGACAGCCCAAAGCAGGCAGCTGCAGGCAGCACCCTTCCAGGTGGCACCAGGTAGAGCAGCTTCCTAGGGCCTCATCCTGGCTCTGTGTGGGTGGCAGCCTGGGAAGCAATGACCTTGCCATCTCCCTGCAGTGGTCACACTCCCTGGCAGGGTATCTGGCCCAAGGGTCCACCTCCTGGGAAGGGATCCGTCCAGCCAGGAGCCCGCTGGGTACCAGGGCTGCCGGAGCAGAGGCCACGGCTGCCTCAGATCACACCCACCTAAAATCCTGCCCAACTACCCAGTGCAGATCTAGAGCAGGAGCGTTTTGTGCACAAGCAAAGTAATCAGCCACCAGATCAGACTTGTGCCCTGGCCAGCTGCAGCAGCAGCTACTGCTGGGGAGAGCGTGGGGCTGCTGGATCCAGAGCCGCCTCTGTACGCCCAGGCAGGGACAGCAGCTCCATGTCACGACACAACCAGAGGAAATCGGTTTTGTTTAGGAACTGCTGCAAGTTTGTTACACACAGGGGGAGGGGACAGGAGAGAGAAGGGAAACTTTCTATGATGCAGACAGTGCTAAAAATAAGATAGAGATTAATTTGCCCCTTCATGCATTAAAAGGAGCAAGTTATGCTCAGATACAAAAAAACCCCAGCACTTAAATTTTCACAGGTAAAAGGTTTGACCAAGATTTGAGGACAGAAGGAAACAGCAGCTAGTGCCTCACACCCAGGGACCACAGACACGCTCCAAGTGTGTTTTTACCGGGACAGAGGAGATGCTTTCCCTCACCACCTGCCGAGGTACCTGCGTGGCCAACCGCACATTAGGTATTTTGCCAGTGAAAAGTGGTGAAGTCCCATCACAGGGTGGAATTTATCCGTCCAGTTGCTTCACTGGGTGAATAACTTCCAAATTCAAAGTACTTTCTTGTTGGTTTTGTTGTTTTGAACATTTTGGGAGGGGGAAAAAGAAGCAGAGTCGAGCTCTCCAGCTGAGACTCAGAGGCTGCTGTGCCACGTTGATGCCTGACTGGCTCCTCCATCGCCTCCAGGGCAGGTGGGATTTGTAGAAGTGACATTTCTTCTCCCAGTGCAAACTAAGGAGACCTTTAGGCTGCTTGTACCCAGAGGAGCATCATGAGCTCTTTAGGATGAACCTCCTGCATAGCCTATGCGACAAACACAGTTTTAAAACCTTGACATTGGATTCTTCTGAACTTGCCAATCCTAATCAAGCTCTTCATAAACCCAGTAAACTTCAGCTGACTTTCCTGTGTTGGAGTAAGAGTTGTTTTCACCTTTAATACGCAAACAGCTACATTTAGCTGCAAAGTAATTACATTTCAGGAGACCAGGTCATTGGAGAGAGTTCACCCCTGCCAAACCCAGACAAAGCAATAAAAGGAAAGTTTTTATGGGCAGGGCTTGAAGGGTACATGGCTCTTGTGCAATGAACCTTGTGTAACAGTGAGGAAGATCTATAGGCAATGCAACTGGTTTAAAAATAAAGAGAGATCACCTCTCTGTGGTGGAAAACAAAAAGTAGTCGTTATGTAATGAGTGGTCATTTGGGAAATGAGCCGAGCTAATGCTGCAGACTTGGCAGGCTGCTTGAGCAGGGGCTCTCCATCGCTCACACTGTACTTAAACCATCACTGGCTGCAGTTTACTTACAAACCTTGAAACCATTTAAAGACAAATCCCAAATTCTCCTTATTTAGTTTTAGAACTCTAGGATGTCAACAGGACAAAGCATCCTGAAAATAACACACAGTCTCAGAAACAGTCCCACAACCTGAACCTGGGAAAGCCCTACAGTGACTCAGGCACAGATTTTTCTGCTGCAGCATCCTGCATCAAGGTGGCAGACCTTGGTTCATGCCACCAGGGATTTTCAGTGCTGCAGAGGCAAGGATATCACGCATCTGTTAACTGCAGCTTTTCCTAGTGAAAACCATTGACCTATAAATAAAGAGTTGTTGCTTTTTCCCCCGATCTTTGTCCAAACGACTTGTTAAAATGCCCTTCCATAATTAGAGGGAAACATGGCTTCCTCCCCTGTGATTTGCTCAGCACATTACTCATGGTTTAATCGCTCACTAGGAACAACCTGTGAGCGGCTCGGCACCACACTGTCTAAAGGAGCCTTTTGCTCTTGGTTGCCCAGAGCGGTGGCACCTTGCATGAACTTTGCCAAACAGGCAGCAGAGCCTGCAATTATTGTTTCACCTTTATTTGCCATGGTGATTGAATCCTGATAATTGGACGCATTTCCAGGCAGTCACATGATTTACCATATCACACCTATAAAGGACAGCAATGCTTCAGACCAAAGGTATGAATTTATAACCGCAAAAAATAGTGGAATATTTGTTTGTGGTGCAAAGGCAAACTATTGCTTAGATAGTAACTGAGTATCCTGGACTGCAACATCATTTCTCTGCTGTTGCGCTGGGTCATTCCTCCTCTTTGGTTCCCCAAGGGTCCATTTCCCCCCCATGTTCCTACACACAACACAAGGAAGACAGAAACTTCTGCAGGACAGAAACCTCTCCCAGAGGCTCACGAGGGCCAACAGAAGTAGTGTTGTCTGTAGAAAGGTTGGTTTTAGAGCTTAGATAAGGAAAAAGCTTCCCAGAAAGGGAGGAAAGTCACATTTTCATGGAAATTGTATCCAAGTTGTGTTTTCTCCTACACCGAGTGCTTCAGTCCACTCTGTACCCTCTACCACCACAGCGCTGCACTTCAGACATCCTTTTCCTCCCACATTTTTCCATCCCCTTCAATAATTCTTTCACTTTTAAACTCGCCCTGTCCTTCCCCGGCCCCCCCACGCACAAAAGAAACAAGGCAGTAATAAAATCACGTTCGTGCAGGCGGCATGGTGCGTGTAGCTCGAGCTATCTCTCTCCCCTCTAACCTATGGTCTTATCTGTTTGATAATGTCAGGATGCAAATTCAGCCGGCGTGGTTCCCTGCCACACTGGGCTGTGGGTAGCCACCCCATCCCAGCAGCTGGAAAGGGTCAGGGAAAGCTTCCCATGGCCCTTTTCAGAGCTCAAACAAGAGCATGGTATGCACTGCCACTGAGCTGAATGCTCAAGGGCCACATCAACCCAAGACAGCAGCAGCCATAAAACACCTAAAACCCTAGAAAACCTGCTCATCCTGCTGGCAGACAT